AAACCCGGTCACTTCCCAGGTCACCCTCAAACCCGGTCACCTTACCCAGGTCACCTCAAACCGGGTCACCTCCCCAGGTCACCTCAAACCAGGTCACCTTGCCCACGTCACCCCTCAAATCCCGGTCACCTTCCCCCAGGTCACCCTCAAACCCGGTCACCTTCCCCCAGGTCACCCTCAAACCAGGTCACCTTCCCCAGGTCACTCTCAAACCCGGTCACCATCCCCAGGTCACCCTCAAACCCGGTCACCATCCCCAGGTCACCCTCAAACCCGGTCACCTTCCCCCAGGTCACCCTCAAACCCGGTCACCATCCCCAGGTCACCCTCAAACCCCGTCACCTTCCCCACATCACCCTCAAACCCGGTCACCGTCCCCACGTCACCCTCAAATCCGGCGGCAAGAGGAACGAAGGCGCGCTCTGCAGCCAAGACCAACACGGGCTGCGAGGCGGCTCCTGCTCTGTGTGACCGGCAGCACTGAGAGCATAGATAGGTTAGTAACGGGGCTGCCCGCAGGGAGTGGGCTGGCTGTTTTGTGAGCACCAGCGCTGTCTTCTGCGAAGGCTTTCATGACACTGGACAGGCTTGCTGAAAGGGGCTTGCCTGCCGTGCCAGGGGGCCGGGTCTTACCTGGAAGGTTCTGGAAAGTGCTTTTTCTTTTTTGGAAAGCCTTTTAACAATGAGGCTGAGTGGGTCAGATTTGTCGATGCCGTGACGGATGGTGTGGGGGGAAGGGAGGTTAGAGGCGGGCTGCCAGTCAGAAGGCTCCTTTTATCTGCTTCTAATTTTGATTCAGATGCAGACCAGGAGCCAGAAGAGGCGGGCCAGCGCCGGCCACCTGCACCAGGTGTCGCTTGGAGGCCTTCCCCGTGGACCTCCCAGCTCTCACCCCTGGGGGAGCGAACCTGAATACTCACAGCAGACGTGTGGCATTGGACTCAGCTCAGAGCCACCGGGTGGGCTGTCCTAAAGGACCAGAGTCGGGGAAGAGGGGCTGGTAATGTTTTTGTCAAAGGAGGCTCACACAGTGCTAAATTCTGCTCCCTGAACAGACCACGGTGTCCCACTCAAGGCACCCAGGGTGACACCCTGATGCTCCCAATGGCCTAATCTTAGGCATCTTGCCATAAACTACACGCCTGTCTCTCACATAGTTGTCTGGGGAGAGTGTCCAGGTACCTCTTGTGTATCTCTCTAGGCTGCCTGTCACTACTTGAGCCAGTTAAGCAGGAACAGGGTTGAATCATTATGAGCGTTTATTCCAGTCCTGTCGGCAGCCTGGGAGAGCAGCAGGTCAGCCACAGAAATCTGCTCTGCCCACCATCAGCCGCTGCTAATATTGGGTAGAAGGACAAAGATTACGTGGAGAAGCAGGCAAAGGTATGCCAAACGGGCAGTTTACAGCTAATGGGGGCTGAATATTTGCAAAGGCCTGTGGGTATGCAAAGTCTGGGGGTCTTCAAAGGACTTAGTGATCTCAAGGGCTGGGTCTTCCACGGGCTGGCGGCTCTGGTTTCTGCAACAAAGTTGTTCATCTTCCCATGAGAATAGGGAGGATGGGCTGCATCTCCAGGTGAGCTCCGAGGACCGTGTGTGTAACTCCCAGCCAGGTTGGATGCGCCTTCTTTAATCAGAACAACACAATCGCAGTTGACAGTGTGGTTAATATTTCTTAGAGTTATAGCTGGTCCCCAACATTCTGTTTCTGCGCTAACAGAACCACGCACCTGTGTCTGGCCCTAGCCATGGGCAGTGGGACTTCATGATGACCTGCCCCTGGCGAGGGCTGCAGTGACACAGACAGAGTGGCTCATGTCGTTCTCGGTACTGCTCACATCCTTCCATTCATCAAAGAAACCCCCTGCCACCGCCGCACAGCCACGTGACCATCAGCTGCCTGCAAATAGGCTTCCAACTTCTCCTCTGGAGGAGTGGCCTGCCCATGGCCACAGCCCACAGCTCACGGCCCACGGCCCACAGCCACAGCTCACGGCCACGGACCACAGCCAAGGCCAGACACAGTGCGGGTCACCGGCGGCACCCTCCCGTCTCAGCAGGGCTCCGGTGAGTGGGCGACCATGTACCCTGCAAACCCTGACTGAGAAGCAGGGCTGGGGGCGGAGGTGAGGAGAAAACTGCTC